TTGAGGGTTTAGGGTTCAGGGATTATCCATACAAAGCCCAAGTACTGAAACTGTTTAAGGCGCCCCAAACCCTGTTCTAATTCTCAGTCTCAGGGCCCCTACCTTATCCATAAAAAGGGCTGCACCACGACTCCCATAGTCAACGCCGGGTTCTGTTCTCGCAGAAATTGGCCTTACAAGGCCTCCAAGCTTAGGACGTAGGCGTTCCTTCGGCGTAAATTTTCAGGACCTCTAAGGATATGGGCTTCTACTACATCTATGTTGGTGGGTTACAGGGCCAGGTTAGCAGCTCCTGTAGTTTGGGCTTGTTTTTAGGACCAGTCTGCTCGAAGAGCCCTGCAAGCATATGTTCGTTATTATCCAGGAAGGGTTGGAGTTTCGAGTGTCGGCTTATGGGGCTGCGGAGTAGGTGAGGCTCGGTTTCGGGCTGTGTCGCTTAGTTTTGAGATGCCGCCTCCTTGATCTTTTTGAGCGTTGCCTTTGTCACCCTGACCCTGTCCTTGGGGGGGGGGGGGGGGGGCTGCGCAGCGCTGTTCATCACGAAAGCTTCATGGATTGGACATGATTAGTGCGGAAGTCCTGAGGCCGAAACCCAAAACCGTTAAAGCCGAAGCCCAAAACCCCAAAGTTGAAACGAGGTCACATGTTGATAGAGCAACCTGCTGCTGGAAGTGTTCTCTGCTGTCTCCGAACTAAGATGTGAGTCATGGGTTTTCAACAGAACATGCTTCAACATCTGCTGCCGAGAAAGGCACAACGGCCGGTTCTGAATTTGGCTAGCTCAATATGGACCTCCCTATGCTATAGCTACAACCGTCCATCTATCTACAAACCCACGAACCGAACTAGGCTTCTGCATCGGAACACTCGTCCTAAACCAATCCACAAACAACACTATAGCAAGGACTGGTGGAAGCCTGGCTTGTCCGAGTTGTGAGAGCGTGAACCCTAGACCCTACACCCTCGACCCGAAACCCTTCACCCTGAACCCTGAACCCTACAGGACTGGTAGAAGATGGAAAATCTCCCAACCTCTTCGTGAGTTGGGAGATCGACGGAGGGTTTCTGCGGCCTTCGGCCAACCCCAAGTACGCCCTTTGCGTCGTCGCAGCATGGCTTGGCATAGGTACCCAATGCCCATGCTAGAGTGTGTCGCTTTTTCTGCAACATCTGGGAGCGTCTATCGTGAACACAAGAAACCCTGAACCCTAAACTCTTGAGGGCCTAACTTCCTGAAGCAAACAGCTGGCGTGCCATCCGTAAGCCCGGCATCCTAAACCCCAGATCCCGAAAATGTCCAGTACGTCCGGGGTAGGGCGCACCTTCAACTAAGAGAACCTGCCTTTCTTTGGTTCTGATTAGGAACCCTACTATAGAATTTATGGAGACCCTAAACCCTAAACCCTAAACCCCACAATAGGGTTGTGTAGTTCAGGGCAGTTTCGCGATCCCAGGAGGAGGGATGTCAGGATGGCGGATGGGTCCATCTGTGGGACTCCGAGTCAGCTCCGCCCGCCTGTTCGTCACTGACCTGCAGAAGTGGTTTGGGGGTTTGGGGGTTTGGGGGTTTGTGGGTTTGGGGTTCAGGGGTTAGGGTTTAGGTTTAGGGTTCAGGGGTTTGGGTTTAGAATTTGGGGTTCAGGGGTTTGAGTTTGGGGCTTGGGAGCCTAGTTTGTTGAACCCCCCCCCCCCTCCAAAAGCCCGCCCCCGCGTCAAACCCTTTTTTAAACCCTTGAATACGAAGCCCCTAAACCCGTAACCCTAAAACCC